TTTCAAATAAATAAAATGAAATAGAAAAATTAAGAACTAATAAAACTTAATTTTATAATTTTTTATCATTAAAAAACTTCTCATTTTTTTATGTTTTTATGATTTTTAAAAACTGTTAGATTAAATTCTAACCATTCTATTCCTTTGTTTTGATTTAATGAAAAAAAAATTGATAAAAAATGCTTATTCTAAAGGAATGAAAATAAACTAAATTTTTAAAGATATTATAAGTTAGGGGGTTGTTTTATGTTATTTTTAGTGATTTAAAAAAATACTTTTTTTTTACAATTTAAATAGTTCTATAAATTTAAAAATAAAATAATTACATTACATATTATCATCAAGTAAGAAACATTCTTATTTAAGCTCAATTGAATATAATTGAATGCTGCTTATCAGCATTGTAATTAACAAGAAAAATAGTAATATTTATACCATCAGAATATTTTAATTTAAATAAAAATGAAGAAACGTAGTAGTTATTTTCATTTACATTACAAAAATAATTTTTGTTGGTATTAATTTAGTAATGTTATTTTTAATAATTTAAAAAAATCGAATAATTTTTATAAAAAAAAAACAACAACATTTATTTAAAATAACTTTTTATATTATTTTCCTGTTTATTTCTTTGATTTTATTCCTTTTTGATTAGTTAATTCAAAAAGAATTTGAAAGATTCAAAGTGATGAACTTATTTTAAAGTTCAAAACAAAGTAAATTAAACGTAATGCAAAAGAATATATTCATTATCTTTTTCTCTTTAATACTTTGTGTTTTTGCTAAGTATCATATTGTTATACCTATGATTGGAAGTCCAAAAAAGCTTCCAATGTTAATTTATAGTGCAGAATATTTAGCAAATTCATATTTACATGGACATGATGATGTAGTTATTGATGGTGTATTTTTAACAAAGGGATGTCATACTTGTGATTATACAGATATTAATGAAGCAGAAAAAATATTAAATAATGCTGGTATAAAGACATTTATTACTCCTGTTAATAGTAATATCATTGAAAATAATGAAATGATGAAAAAATTAATCAATATATATGAATCTATCTTTATGTTAAGAAAAGAAGGTGATTATAAAGTTGATGGTCATTTGAAATTCAACAGAATCAATTTTTACTTCTATGAAACTGTTAAATATGCTTTATCTCTCTTTCCTCAAACAGATTTTGTTTTGTTTATGGAAGATGATGAGGCATTAAAAAGAAATGCATTCAGTAAGTTAAGCTCTGTTCTTAATTACATTTCAAAGAATGAAAAAAATATATTTGAGTCAAGAATCATTCCTTCTATTAAGGGAGCGTTTGATAATGGATTATCTCCACATTGTTGGTGGGGATTTTATGGAAAATTATTAAATAGACGACAATTAAATAAATTTCTAAAAGTACAAAAATTTTCAAAATTTATCAGATGTGGAGATGTTGCACAATGTGATTGGATAGCTGCAACTCGTGAAAATGAATATATTCAAAATTTAGGACATCACTTTGGTAGAGACCCAAAAATAATAAGAAAAGACCCTAATTTCTATTAAAATATCATCACTTTATTTTAACTTACTAAAATATTAGGAAGAGTTTTTATTCTAAGTTTATTTACCGTTATTTTTTTTTGTTAAGTTTTGATTCTTTTTAATATTATTAGAATAAGAAAATTAAGTTAAAATATAGTCTGTCTAGTCTATTACTTCAAATTACTAATTATTCTAATCATTTTAGTACAATTTATTTGTTAAAATATTATTTTTTATTGTTTCTTTTAAGAGTTATTATCATTTTAATTACCCAACCTTTATTAATTCATCTGACTATTTTATTTATCTCAAAATACTATCTATAAACCAACCATTAGTAAATGTTTATTTTTGCTTATAAAACATTATAAAATTCATCATCTGAAAATTCAATATATATAGTATTTATCTTCGTTTTAATGGATTTTATTAAATGTTATAATACTTTTGAAATTTATATAATATTTATATTCCCCATCTTAAAAAGGCATATGTTATAAAATTATATTCTCAATTAATTTTTATTAAAAAGTTATTATAATTATTGAGTATTTGATATGTTTCTTCATATTAAAATTTTAAATCTACTGAAATTATAAAATTCATCAAAATAAAGAAAATATTCAAAAAAAAACATAAAGACATTCTTAAAAAGAAGAATTAAATTCCTTCAAACTGAATAGGAATGACTTAACATTACATGAACATTAAACATTTTCTGTAAAACCACATCAATAAGTATAAAAATACAATAAACAGCAATGTTAATGCCAAATAACCACATTGAACCACCGAAAGAAGTGAAAAATAGCATAATGAAAGATAAAGCTCCAAAGCAGACTATGTTTAACAACAAAAAACTAAGAGAAATTTTTTTTCTTAATAAAAACACCCACAATGGAATAACTAAAAATAGTCCACTTGAAAGAAGGTCAAGTAATACCAAATGGTATGGATTAAGTGCTGGACCTAATTTAGCATACCAATCCCGTTTAACTACCCAAATACTTTTTGTTGCTAATTTAAAGAATAGTCTAATTACAAGAACACACTTAACTACAGCTAAAAATACACAAACAATTGGAACAACAACTTGATATATTTGTTTTAGTAGACCAACGATGTACTCTTGCTCTTCAGCACGATCAATCTTTTTTTGGTCATAAACAGAAAAAGTGTCTTTATCATCGTAGCTTTGAACAGAATACATCAAGTCTAGAAGTATTTAAGTTCAATAAGAATTTTTATTTCCTTCTTAATATTTCTTATTTTTATAATAAAATTTATTATTGATTATTTCATTTTAAAAGAAAAGTTTTTTTTGTCGTTTTAGTTAAAAATTTTATAATAATAACAAGATACTATCATATCAACAAAAAAGACTTTTTTTTTGTTAATAATAAATATTCATTTTGATGTTAAGTTAGAACTATTAAACATGTTGTCCCTTTCTTTTTTACCTTAACATCTTCTAATTTACTTCTTTCATATAAGTAAGTATTTTAGATAAGACTATTCAAAAAAAAAAGAAAAAAATAACTAACAAGACAAAAATCAAATTTTTTTTAAGATCTTAACTAGAAATATTATTTTATTAATTCATAATATGAACGCTCTTTTTGTCATTATGGTTATAATGTGTGTTCAAGCAAAAACAAATGAAACTGAAGCATTAACTGGAGTTAAGGTAGTTAAAGATTTAACTCTTCCACCAGCTTTGATTAAATCAAAGCAATTAGTTGTCAAAAGATTAGAAGAAAAATTAAAGTTAACTTCAGCTCAAGCAGAGTCAATGGCTGAAAGAATTATGTCTTCTATTGATGAAAATTCTATTAATCCATCTATTGAGCGTGCAAAGGCTGTTGCCAAGAAAGTTAAAAAAGCTGCTAAAATTACTAAAAAATATACTAAAGGAACACCTTGTGGAGATGAACTCATTAACTTAGCAAAAATGTACGACAATAAAATTCAAATCCAACAATTTGATGTTAATAAGTTAAACTCAATGATCAATGACGCTATTAAGAAGATTACTGCTAAAAAGAAATTAAAAGAAATTAAATGCTTATTAAAAAAGAGTGGGGTTAAAGGTTCTCTTAGTGTTAAGAAACCAGTGTCAAAATTAAATACCCCTATAAAACCAACTCTTGCTGAACAATATCCAGAAATTGCTAAATTAATTCCTGAAACAAAATCATCAATAGATTTTAAAGTCAAAGTAAACGCTAAACAAACATTACAAAATAAGCTTATTGACCAAATCTAATAATCATTTTATTTCTTTTATTTTGACTTGTTTTTGTCCTTTCAATTCATATGATTAAAAGAAATTGAAATGATAAATAACTATAGTTATATTAATTAATAATCATTTTCTTTCTATCTCTTATTTATATTACAAAATTGAAGATATAAAAAGAAATAAAAAAGTAACGAAAAGACAGTGAGACTTAAGTTAGTAAATGAAGATAAGAAGAGCAAAACAAATCATAACAACAACACTAGATGCACCGTTGGTAATTGTTCTTTTAAGTGTTTCATTTTTAATTGTACCATTTTGGTAATTAGTTTGAATTAATGTTTCATTTACTTTAATATTTTCTTTTGGTTGTTTAATATCACACACAAAAGCACATGCCTCTTCAACTGTTTGTAATTTATCATCAACATTTTCATACATTGTTCTCCATTGATGACGTGCTGCAAGACACATACATTTTTGTTCTGGAATAGTTGGGTTTTGACAATAATCTTCATCTTCAACTACTTTTTGTTTACAGAGGAAGCATTGTGCTGCAGTAGAATTCTTACAACTTTCAAAGTTGAACAAGCGTGTTTTTTGTTTTGGAACATAATTAATATTAACTTTTACTCCAATAATTTCATCTGCAACTTTATTTGCAAATCTCTTAGACTGTCTAGAAAGACTTTTACTTTCTCCAAAACATACAAACAACATGATAATTAAACAATAAATCATTCTCATTGTTCTTATATAATACTATAATTTTTTCTAAGTTCCTTTTTCTATTTTTTTAATCAACACTTTTGAATAGTAATTTTTGTTATTTGTTTTTATTATTCCAAAAATAAAAAATTGAAGAATTTCATCTAAATAACAAAATATGTTTATTATCGATAATATTGTTTTTTAGCTTTATCATAAATATACTTATCTAATTCCGCCTGGACTTCAGCACATATATTTGCCTCAGTATTTTTTAAAAATAAATGACGGTCATCAACTTCCTCGTATTGAATATCTTTATTTTTTGCTATCTTTCTTGCTAGTGCTAATAAATGAGCCTCTTTTACTTCAAATAACATTCCACTTGATTCTTCATAACAACGATGTGTTGGTTGTTCTATTGACATTAATTTCGATCATTAAAAAGTTTTAAAAATTAAAAAGAACTTTTTAAATAAAGTTTGACATTCTATTCAATAATAACAATTGAAAAATAACTATTTATAAAAGAAACAATAATAAACAAAAACATCTTTATGATTTAGTTATGATTTATTTTATTGTTTTAAATGATAGTTAAATATTAATTGGTTTATAAATTCTTAGTTTTATATTTAATACTTAAGTTGTAGAAACAAAACCCAGCAACTTTATAATTTCTTAATGACAAACAACTACTTATTGTTTAAGTTTATATATTATTTATTTCTGTTAAAAGTCTTTCTAATAATTTTTTAATTACTGAACAAATATTAATTTAAACTTCAGGACTAAATTAAAATTTATTAAAATAATTATTATTTTAATTACTTCTTTATATTTTACTTGTTTTATTCTTGTTATTTATTTTATAAATTTACTTCAGACTTAAAGATGGCATTTAAGAAGCACTACAATTATTTTTAAAATAAATTAAAGCATAGAATTATCATTTATCATTTAGTTATGATGTTATCTTTAGTTATAAAACATCTTATTTAATACTATAAGAATAATAATGATTTATACTAATGTTGGAATATTAATTATTATAGTAGAGGAGTGTGTATTTATAAAGATAATAGTATTATTTCCTTTTCAACATATAAAAGTAATTTGATAATACATCATATTATAAAAAAAGTCTTAGAGTTTTCTTATATAATTATAACTTTAAGTTATTTTTCTTTTATGTTGTTTTTATTTAAATGGTTATTGGCTATTTTTTATTCGCACTTTTTTAACAATTATTTTGTGAATATTAATGCTATAATAAGCATTAGGTAATATTTAAACAACTTTTATATAGATGAAAAATTGTAATTTTTATAAATATAACAATAACTCATCGTATAATAATTGAAATAAGGAATATTTAAAGTATGATGTATATATTTAATAAGAAAAATTAAATAACTATTAAACTATGAATTATTAAATGATTTAATTGAATGAATGATAATAATTTCTTTATACCATTCACATACCTTTGAGATTACTCTTTAGGTAGTTCTAATCATTTTATTCTCTGGAACAGTCAATTATTTATTAAGTGAAGGAGAAGCAATTAGAAGATTAAAAAATATTTGTTTAAATACAAATTTTTTGTTTAAAATATTCCACAGATTAAAGAAATGATGGAATAGTATTAACATTAATACTTTATAACATTATTATAGTTACTTTATTTTAAGTAGTATTTTTTGAGATTATTCAAGAATTTGGCTGAATTATTATTATATAATAAAATATATATATACAACTTTATATTTAATAACTTTTTGCCAATTTATTTTTTAAGACATGTTTAGTACAAAAGATAAAATCTTCATCTTAAATTATTATTTGAGCTATGGGTGATTTAATTGGAATTTGCTGCGAATGTTTCTGTGATATTTGTATAGCACCTCTGATTGAAGCGTTTTGTTGCGATTGCTGTGACTTATGTGACTTATGTGATTGTTGTGATTGCTGTGATAATAAAAAGAGCAAAAAGAAACATTCTAATAAAAGCGAGCATTCTACTGATGAAGAAGAAAATAAAGAGAAAGACAAACCAACAGATAATAAGGACAACCAAAGTAATCAACAAGAATTACAGCAAACTCCTACTAACCAACCAAATTATGGCTATGAAAATCCCCAACAAAACTATTGTTATCAACAACAACCATACCAAGGATATCCTATTCAAAACCAATGTGTCCAGCCACCTCCTGACCAATATATACAACCACCCCTTGACCAACACGTACAACCACCACTTCCTTCAGACCAATTTACACAACCACCACTTCCTCCAGACCAATTTACACAACCACCTTATTATGCACCACCCCCTCCTCAACAACCGTATTATGCACCACCACCACCTCCTCAGCAATAAAATAAACTAATATAATATTTTATTGTTTTATAGTTATTATAAAACACCCACCTAATAAATTATTATCAATACAATGTTTATAAATTAGTGAAAATAATTTTCAAGTAATAAAGTTGCATTTTATAAATCTCTTTATTAATTTATCTCATTCTTAATTATTAAAGTGATTATACTCCTTGTTAATGTGTATCTAAATCTTTTTTTTTTCTAAAACAAAGAATAACAAAGTAAGAAAGTCTTGTATTTATTAATACTGTTGATAAGTAGAGTTATATTTTAGTTATTGTCAACAGAAT